TTCGGAAGAACGGGTGGATTTCCGAAGAAATTAAGATTTCGGGTAATTCGACGCCGCTTGAAAATTGTATACGCGTGCAGCTGGTGAACTAGCTTTTAAGCTCGTGCAAAATGAACTTCAAGGTCGATCGTCAAGATTTCATTAACGTCCGAAAAGGAAGGGCCCGTGATTTACTGGCGGCAATATTGCGAAGCGTCGATCTCCATGGCGCGTCTAAATATAGGGGACTAATGGAATTGAGATAAATTCAACGAGTTGGCAAACATCGTGGGACTCGAGTCGTCCACGTGGCCCCGTGTTGGCCGTTGGTTTCATGGTCGTCGGCAGATAACGACGTGAAAGGGACAACTTCACCCCGACATGTGTGAAAGAACCGCGGACATCTTGTTTTAAGGGCGTGCGCGGGCGACAGCTCGTCGTTAACGCGCGAACTTTCTCGGAGAAGTTAACTCTCGAATCGGGCTTTGTTATTTGCGAGACGTCTCATTCTCGCGATACATTATCTCCCGACGACAGGTTTCCTCGAGGAATATCGAGTTGATTTTGCTCTCGACGAAAATACCGTATATAGAGCGGACGGATAGAAAGGGAGCTTTTATTGTGCATTCTTTCGCATAGAACTCGAGTCGCGAGGAGAGCTTGTAATTCGGAATCTCGAATAATTTTCGCAATTCGGCTGTTTAATTTTTCGCGAGGCGGAGGTTGGCCTCGGAGTCGCCGATGAACAGACTTCTGCTCAGTTTGACGGGAACTTCACGGGACATCCTGTTTACGACACTCGTTCCTTTTTGCAGTGTCTACATGACTCGTCGCGACTCGTTGCGTAAAGGGAAACTTTTGCGGGCACCACGGCTTTATGAATCCGCGGCAAGAAGTTTGTCAAGCGGGAACAAGGTTGTCGGCCGCCGCGTCCCGCATTACGAGTATCTCGTATTTCATCAATTTTACTTAGAGCTCGGTTTTTGCGGGCGGACAGTGGAGCCGAGCTTCCATCAATCCTCCGGTTTACGAGGCTCTCGGAAGTGCTCGCACTTATGAGCAGAAAAGGGCTTCTATTAGGGGCAACAGGGGGTGAGAGAGAGAGAGAGAGAGAGAGATGGAGGGATCTGCATCGAACGTTCGCGATGGAGACGTCGGTCGTTTCACGTCGAACCGGGGCAAAAGCGAAAACGCGCAACGACGTTGAATCCCCCGTCGTTCCATTTTCTTGCGCAGAGATCAACGCACTTCGCGACAAGGCTACGGGATGTTGTTTACGAGCGGTTCCCGCTGCGCTCGGCCTGTTTGTCAGGCTGTAAATCTACCCCGCGTACGGGGAGTGATTAATCGACCGACTAACTGCACAAAGGGTAAGGTGAAATTGGCAACGGAAGCACTGCCCTTTTTCATCGTGCGCGATTTCGACTTTCGAGTTTGTTCGACGTTTCAGCTCGAGCTTGCAAAAAAGTAATTGATAAGAGGAGAGAGAACTCGTGCACACCCGTGTATGTACCCGTTTTCCGCTCGCAGGAGTCGTGTGGAAATAGTTCGTAAACGCGAACTAAGCATCGCGCAACGAAAACTCATTTTTACCACCCTTGAGATAGAATCTTCCGGCATAAGTGGTTCCCGTGTAGTTCTGAAGGCTCGGCAAAAACTGGGGTTTTTTTCAATTTCTTTTCGTGGAAGTTTCGGCTTCTTATCTTCCTTACCTGAATTTTTCCAAACGGATTTTTCCACCCTTGGCGACAGAAACCGAAGAAACTCGCGGAAAAATTGGAGGAGACCCGGCGTTTTCCTTCGAAACTATAGATCCCCGCGGAATATCGGTAAATAAAAAAAAAACGATATAGCGGCAAGTTAAAGATTTTTATCGAGAGCAACGTGAGTAATGAGATTCGGAGACAAGAACGATGGAGACGGAGACTGGGACTGGAATTTCGAACGTGTTAATTCGCTGATATCGGGAAGCCGTTAGTACGGAAAGCGAGAGAGGACGGCTATTGCGAGGTAACAGCGATCGTACCCTCAATCAGTCTCCGTGCGACCTTGTTGGAGCCCGGATCGACACGGAGGAACGTTCGGGCGAAGACGGCGCGAGGTCCTAAATCGAGGAGAATCACGAGAAATCGGGGGAGAGGAGGAAGGAGGCGGCGGAGGATGAGGGCTTATCGATTTCGCAAGCTCGGAAGGTCTGTTCGCAGGAAGAGAGAGAGAGAGAGAGAGAGAGGGAGAGAGAAAAGCTCCTCTCTCATCATTCCTCTTCGCACAGCGCGAAGGAGGGTTACTCGAGAATTTCCCACGGTAAGAAACGACCGCGGGATCTCTTTTTGCCGGTTTCTATTTCCCGGGGAAGTCACGATTCTCCGAATAAAGCCGGTTTATATCGCGGGTGCCGCAGCTGCGGCGGCCGGGCAGCCGCGCTTAACAGGACGAAAAGAGGAGGCGGGCCTTCTTCTTGTACATGTCCCGTTCTTTTTACCTCGAGATGTACCTCGAGATGCTCGTGCATATTTCACGGTCCCGTCGTCCCGTAATTTAATCGTCGGTACCGCCGGCGACACCGGGGTGCCGTGTTTAATCGACGACACACTTGCCATCCCCGCGGTACCTATTGCGCTTCACTTAGATAAATTGTGCGCGGTGTGCGAATTTTTTAATTCCGCCTGTAGCCGCGGGGAGTATCGATTTTTCGCAAGTAATTCGTTCTCCAGCACGCGCGCAACACAAATAAGAGAGTATATATAGGCCTCTCTATAATATGTATTAAATGAATATCCAAAATATTAATTAAATAAATCGACGCATTATCTTGCTTCTAGGCTCTAAATCTCTGTGTTGAAGATGCAAAATTGAAATTTAAATGCGAACTTGATAGTTTTACAAAAATTACTGTATATTTCCCTGCAAATAACTATCTTTCAAAATGTTTGAGGGTTGATAATTCTAAGAACTAGGCCCCAAAACCGACATACTGAGCTATAGAAAATGATAAACAAATTAAACGCTAAAATTACGTTATTTTGTACATTTGTTATACAGAGCGTCCCATATCAATCACGAACAAAGCTTGAGGGCGTACCAAAAAGTCCCGTACCGTTTTTCGATATTCGCAATAGTTAATGAGGAATTGATTAATCTGTAAGCTAATGAGCGCGCGGGAAACGGTAGGCCAGACTCTGCATAAAGAAAAATGGCTTACTTTTAAAGATCTCCTAGCAATCGGCATCCATTGATTTTTAGAGGCTCTATGCGAGCGGCATGTGACATAAAATTGCGCGCCAAAAAGGAACACGCTACTGACTATCAGTGGATCCATCGTTGCTAGATTTTTAGAAGTAAGCTATTTTTCTTTATACAAAATCTGACCCACCGCTTCTTGTGCGCTCATTACCTTATGCAGATTAATTAATTTCTCATTAATTTGCGAATGGCGTAAAACGATGTGAAACTTTTTTGTTTATCTCAATCTGTTCTACGCTCCCACGGTCTTCGTCCGTGCTGATCTGGGACATTCTATATACCTCTTTATGTGTTATCTCTTTAGTCGGATGTACTTTTTAAAATGTTAAACATCTCACGATGTATATTACTCCTTTATTTTGTGGTACGGGATTTCCAGCCTTTTCCTTTCCGAGCATTTTAAACAAACAAACGAGAAAAACAGAGGAAAATCAGTCACCGGTAGCTTCAATTGTATTCTATGAAATGATATCTCAAGTGCAATGCAAAGTTCAACGCGAAGTTTCAATGCAAAGTTCAGGTGTGTGGGTTGAAAGACTAGTAAACCGAGGCTCATACAGACTAACCTAATCTTAATCTTTCTCACGTGGTTCAGTGACAAAGGATAGAGACTGGCACGAGGCCTAAAATGATCAGAAAAGTTCAAGACTCACAATAGACCCACAATATAAAACAGCATTGTTAAATAAATTACTTACTGCTAGTTTTTTTCATTTCAATTTTTGCAAGAAGATAGCTCGACAAAAATCTTCAGCATAACGCAAAATCGAACGACGCTAATAACACAATCGACCGCGCTTGTACCACTTCAGTTCCATCCACTGTACACTGCAGACGAAATTCATGTTCCGTCCAAGAGAGTTTGATACTTTACTTAGCCGAGAAACACGGAGTATATCGGTTTACTGTACCCACGTCAGTTTCGGTGCTTTTTCACCACCGGTATCAAATGGCACGATCACTTCCAAGGGAGCGATTCTCTTCTGATTTTTTCGGGCCGCCCCTCTAGAATACAAAATTGACGGCGCAACTGTTTTCACGAGCTCCGCTCCTCCCCGGCTTTCTTTACGGGCTTCAATGTGCGAGGAAGTCTTTATATGAACGTCTTTTATGTACCCTGAACATTCCGTAACCGGTACTTTTTCCCCATAAAAACTGCAAAGCTCGCGCGAAGGAGGGTGACGTAACGTATGGTTCCGTTCGCCGGTTCATGCCCGCTCACGCCCGGACACGGGGGAGAGAAGTAATGCTATTTGTTGAATTCGTTCGGGAAGATAAACATCGGTGTCGTATTTTTTTTTCCGGCGATCCGTTCGCGTCCGATAACGTTGAAGTTTCTTTCGTCGGGTCCCCCGTAGCGAGAGCGTAGCCTTCGATCGCGTCCTATCTCACTGCTCTTGGCCACCATCGTTATCCTGGGCAAACTTCATTTGCCGGAAGCAAGAAGTACTTTTACGAGCAATCTTGAGGGCTCATAGATCGATAATGGGATTGGTTGTCGGCTAACCGAACGGCGTTGTGATAAGATTATGGTAATTCCGTATTGCGAAATGGAAATCCCCGCACGCGAAAAAAAAAAGAGAAAAAAAAGAGGAGGGAATATTCCACCCCCGTATTATAATATGCGACGGCTTCGGACGCCTATGGCGAAATTTTATCCGTTTCGACGTTACGAGTGTCCTACACATGTATCGTTTTTCTGTTTCGTATCAACTTTCGGCTATTGTTTGAAAAATACGCGAATATCCGCGTCTAATTGCAAAATGTTTCTGTTTCAGTTTTCAGCCGAGGGCGATCATGACAGGAACATACCGGAGATCGGTGAGTACAGGTAGAGCAAACAATGCTTTCTATTCATTTCTCTGTTGCCCCCTTATCCTCCTTCGCAACGATCTCGGACTTCACAGAGTCACTATGACCCTCGTTAATCCGGAATTAACCCGAGAATTTTATTCCGCTGCGCGCCCGCGAACTGTTTCTCGCTTCTCGTCACGACAACGACGAGCAAGTTGACGTGAACTTGATTCTGGTTATCCACCGGTTGAATTAGCAACGGGAGAAGAACATTTGAATTATTCATATATTTTCGTATATTTTTATAACGTTACATTTTTATTACGCGCGCGGCTTGTGGACGTAATTGAAATGCAATCGATACGTGAGATAATTTAACAAATAAACACAACAACGTTTGTCGGCTGATTTCGTTGGCGTAACGAGAGGCAATGGGATTTCCTCGCATCGGACACACTTTACGGTGTAATTTGATGAAATGAAAATATCGCTCTCGCCGGCTTATCGTATCGCCGATAACCGGCCACATTGGAGAATTAAAACGGCACTACATGCATATTTCGTAATTAGTACCGTTTTGTGTAATCCGCGATCAATCTCAATAAATTTTTCATTCGTCCCACAGCGGAGTAGCGAGCGGTAAGCTCCGAAGGACGCGTCGAGAATCCGCGATGCTGCTTGCTCTCGCGAGAAAGTTAAGAGATTCGCGCATGATAAATTGTTGCCGGCGCATCGAAAGTTCAACATTCTTATTCTCCGTACCCGGAAAACTTTAGAAGCCATCATCACGCACACACACACACACACACACACTCACACATACACACTACCGTCGTCGCACGTGTTTTGTACACGTCGTTGATCACGATGAACGATCGTTCGTGCGCGGATGAAACGGCCGCGGCGCGTCTTGCGAAAATATTTATGGAGCGATATCGAATCGAGCGTCGGTATTACTTTCAAGATCGACGAAGAAATACCGGCTGAAATATTTCACCGGCGAATCACCGCCGGCGCGCGCTATCGCGCATTTATTAACCTAGTTGTGGCGCTGTGAATGCCGTATTTTCAGTGGCGCAACTCATTAAGGGGACAACTCGTGAATTTAGTATTCATCAGCAAAATTACGCTCCTGTACATTTATTTCGCTACTTAAATAATCATCATATTTAAATCCATATATAATACAAGTTCCAACGAATTCTTTAAAAAAATTCACTTTATTTATACCACTGCCATCTTAAAATCTCTCCTTCGCCTCGCGTCTCGTTAAAATTCGGCCGAGTTCTCCGCTCGGTGCGTTCGACGATAATTAACGAGCTTTATTCCCCGTGTTTTATTCGAATGTTTTTGTCCATAAGTCTCTTTTACGAAATTATGAGCTTCTGCTTCTCTCTCTCTCTCTCTCTTTCACTTGCTCTTCTTTTCTCCCGTTCTATTTTTTTTAAGCGCATTTGGAAAACTGTCACTCGCGTTATTAACTTTGTTCGCGACGTGCACCAGTTAAAGGATATTCCGAGCGTAACCGTCGAATATTCCGCGTCGACAGCTGACAATGGTTCGTTCAACCGCGATACCGTCCTCGTTATTCACGCATCATTTGTCTCGTATCCGCGTGCAGGTCCCCATTATACCATTCCTGATATTCCGTTGGAAACGTCGACGCGTATCGGAGGCGACGCCGTGTATACCTACTGTTAAGCGCGAAAAAGGAACGCACAACCGGACGACAACGTTCTTGCGAAACTTCCCACCTCGCGAAACGCTTACGCCGAAATAGCGCGATTCCTTGCAACGGCGCAATAAATCTCGCGAGGCGGACAAGTGAGGTTTTTTCGGGCCGCAAATGCGCGTGCAAAATTAATCAGAGAATATCCAGATATTGCATCGCGCGCGATAATTACGGAGGGAAAAATCGCGTAATTGTTTTCTCGGCAGGTTCCCAGCAACTTTCCCGTCGGGGTGACGCGATGGGACGCGCAATCAGGGGATCGCGGAATAATTCATAATACTTTCGACGGAGCGTCGTCGGGAATAATTGAAAGACGCATAAATTAATCCCTAAACCCGTCTCGAAGCGGAGACGCAGCGCGGCCTACGCGATTGGTAACGATCGATTTTCGGCCGGAGTTATGACACAGCGATTATTTCATGTAACCGTTGCAATTATCCGGATGATTGGGCTCATCGCGAGCGCACTAACCAAATAACAGAAACAGCCGCGGTTGAACCAACCGTCCGAACACAATTAACTCGCCGCTCACGCCGATCAGAAAACACTCGCGCCTCTAATTGCGTTTGATTGATTTCCGACGGCCGTCAATTCCGCGACCGCCGCGTAAAGGGAGGGGAGAGAGGTGCGCGATCAATTTAACGAGGATTTATTATATCCTCCTGCTTGGCACGCGGACGCGCGTTTAAACCCGAACGCGTTTCTCTCGACACGATTCTAAGCCATTTAACCGGCTCCCGGTGGTATCTCCTCGTTTGCCTTTAAAGCCGCGCCCTTGTAACCCGAGGCCGGCTTCCAATTTGCCCGGCTCGCGGGGTCAGGGAGCGCACTCGGACAAACAAGCCGAAGGATCACGCCCGGACGGTTTCCGCTCTGCCTGTTTACGTAGTCCCGTGTGAATTGCTACTTTGCATATCGGCCGACCGGCTTGCCAATAAGGATAACACGGGCGACGACATCGCCGGGAACCTCGGACACCGCTGCTCTCCCGCAGAGGTGTCTCCCATTCACGACGGCCCCGATTGATCCCGGGTTGAATGTCAGCGGCGCTAATTGTAACGTCATGTACGAGATTAAAGCTCTCCCGCCGATCTCGTCGGCCGAATTAGCACAGATTCTCGTCGGAAAATTCGGCCCTGCCGAGTGACCGAACGTCGAGAATCAACGCGCCGCGAAGTAGGCGGAGGTAATGCCGATTAAAGTTCCGCAGCGTTATTCTCTTGATTAACCGTGCACTCGTCCCGATGAATTCGATATCGCGTTAGACGTATGCACGTGGCAATTATATTAAACTATGGCTATGGATATCCGTGGTAAAAATGAGCGTTTCAAAACGAGCGACGATCACGTCCGCGGACTTATTAGTTAATTGCCGGCTGGCACTGTTACTACACCACTGCCGTGGGAAAGCGAGTAATCGCGTTCGCGTCCTAATTAAGTCTAATTAAGTCTAATAAACCCTGAGAGTGCGAGCTCGTGTATGTCGTGGATCCCCGCGTGTTGTGTTACCCGTACGAAGGATTCTTGGAGGCTTTAATTACGCGCGCAATGCTATTTCCGTCGCACGACGAGAACGGCGTTTGAATTACGCGATAAAACCGCCTTGGTTTCTTTCTCTCTCTCTCTCTCTCTCTCTTTCTCTCTTTCTCCGCTGCCTCACGTCGGGCATTATTATCGGAAATTAACAAATGTCAATTTTCTACAAAAGGAAACGCGGAAATCTTTGCACAACGAGCCGATTCGATCGCTCGTAAATCTCCCGAGTGGCGGACGAGCGTTCACTATATTGTAAGTATTTGAAATTCTAACGTTGCCGTATTTCACCTCCCCCTCCCTGCCTACTGATCGCTTCTCGACGAGGTAAGACACCGGCGAGCGGGGCTTCCCGTGGAAACTGGAAAAGCAGCGACGATGGCGGCGGCGTAAGAAAAGAAAGAGGGAGGAGGCAAGCGGCTTTGCGTAATGGTCTTTCTTGAATATGTATAAACTTACGCTTCGACGAACTCATCGCGCAAATGCCCGACATTATGACTCTTCTTGCCTCGTAGTCGCCGCATAAAAAAATAGCGACAATTGGCCGGCGACCCGTACGGACGCGTATATTTTCCAACACACTCAAATCGAAGTGTTGAACCTACATTAAGGCTGCGTTCGAAAAACATCATCCTTGGTGTCATTTTCCGATCCATGAATGGTCCGCTGAAAATGTTTTTTCCTCTATGCATGCGTTGACCGCTTGCAAAAAGCCTCGCTAAAGTTTGTATCCGGTTTCTCCTGAACGCTCCAAGTGGGTCATAGTCAACTTCCAGCAAACTACACGATCGCTTATGTTAGGCTTAGAATTCCTTTCCACGCGGTTTACCGGACGTTTGAACGCATGCTCGCCGAAAACTTCCAAACTGAGCTGACAGTCATCGTGACCAGTTTAATGGCGCTGCACGAAAACACGAAGCGATTGAAAGCGTGGCGTTAATTGACGGTACAGCGTTGTATCGCCGGGTTTAGGGTTAATCCTTCAAGTTCAGTGGTATCCGCGGGATTAATGCAGCACCGGAATTTCGACTCCGGCACGTTCGCTATGCTAATGGTAGCGGTGGTGACACTGATCCCGCGCAAGGTTTTCATCTTCCCACGCCCGGAGTGTCGACGCTTTCGGACTTTATTCCGACACATTATCCTCCGCAATTTTTTCCCCCGGGAAAGTCCATCAGCCTTGTTGTAACGGGAAACTATCGCGGGTGGGACGGCCGATTGCACGTTCCAGAGCAAGAGACGACCCAGCCGAGGAAGGCTATCGGATTTCTAATGACCGAAACTTGCCGGCCGTGCGTGTTCCGCTCTTCTTCGTTCGCGCACAATCTATCCCTGCTTCATCGAGGTTAATGCGCTTTTTTCGCCGTTTTCGTTCCGGGTCGAGGAGAGAGAGAGAGAGAGAGAGAGAGGGAGAGAAAAAGCGGAGAGAGGATCCTCGCTTCCAGAGGGATCGCGTTTCCAGACAGCTATATCGAGGTGTCGGTATCGCCGTTACCGCCCGTTCGCTCTCCGATCGCCGCACCGGCTCTATTATTTCTGGCCTGGTTGATTTTCAGTCGCTGACTTTTAATCGCCGCGCGAATTTACGGTCGAACTGTAAAAAAAGTGGATCGCGCATTGTGCATCGGCGCTCAGCCTCGTCGTAAGGTCGAGTCGTGTTTTCGCGTTTTTCTTTCTCTTTTTTTTTCCCCCTATCGAACGACACCCCTCAAAGCTCAAACTTTTATCAGAACGGAATAAAACAGGTGCACGGTAGTCTGCG